GGGGGGTGGGGCAGGGGGAGAGAGAATCCCAAGCAGACCCCCACCAAGCTTGGAGCCCCACTTGGGGCTCAAGCCCATGACCCTGAGATCATGACCTGAGCTGAAATCAAAAGCTGCTGAACCGACTGAGCCACCCAGGCGCCCCTGAACTGTGTGTTTTTAAATGATGGGTTTTATATGTGAGCAATTTCACACCAAAAAAAATCCTAATTTATATCTTGAAAAATCAGAACTTGTGGCAGCAGAGCCCAAATTCAATGGAAAGACTGGCTTGGGGTTTCCCCAGGCCCGATGCTCAGGTTTCAGCGGGGGCAGGGGTGGGGAAAGGGGGGCTGGAGGACTGGAGGGCAGGGCTGCGTTCAGGGGTGTGACACGCACACGCACCCTTCCTTGAGCCCCGCTCGTGCAACCCCGACGCCCGTGCCATCTGCCCACAGCATAGCAATGTCTCCCCTAAGCAGGCAGCGAGTGGCTTCTGCTTTTTGAGATGGAGCCCCTCTGCCCACTGGGCATTTATTGTATGCCTGCCCCGTGCCAACCTCAGCTCAGGAGAGCTGAGAACTGGCATCGTAGTGGGGAAAACAGAAAACAAGGAAAACCCGCCAAGGCTGCCCCCTCCAAACCCCCACCGCCTCTCTGTCCTGCCTCCTGCTGTGGTTCCCTCCCCCTCCCGGATGTCACCTCCGAGAGCCCTCCTCTGCCCTCCCGAACCTCCAGCCCCAGGAGCGGTCACTGGGCACTCGCTCTAGACTGGTCTCCTTTGCGTCTTTGTTCACTGCTGTGTCTCCAATACCTAGGACAGTGCGCAGGAGGCGCTTAATGAACAGGTGTTCGTTGAATGAAGGAAGGAATGAATTGTTTCCCTTTTTTGCAAGGAAAATCTTGCATTTCAATGAATCAGTTCTGATTATTCAGTGCATCATCTCTATACAACACGCCCTTCCGGGTTATCTGATTCATAGCATTGTCTTTGAACTCAGCTCTGTAAATTGTAAGCAACTGATAGCAATATAAAACCACTTATCTGTAGACATGCAAATTCCATCCCGGCCAGCAGGGGTTTTGTTGACAATCCTCCTCCCCTATGGAAAAAAACAATTTGCCCCCATCTGCACGTTTATTTGCACAAATAGTCTGATAATGTAAAAGTGCCTGTTCTCCAGATTCTCTTTTGAGCCGCGTATAACATCTGCCTGGTTCCCACATGAGTTCAATAAAAACGTTAACACGTGTCCATCTTTACGTGTCTACGAGAATCATGATTTCTCCCTCTTCTGGAAATTATTTGTTAACCTTTTTCTGGAATCTCAGAAGAGCGAGGACTGGGACAGGGTGCCTGGAACCCAGGCCCACCCTACTGGGTCCCGCGGCGCGCAGGCGGGCCAGGGACTCCTGTAAACTGGCTCCTTTGTCCCTCTGACACCAGCCCTTTGGAGGAGGACCCCAGGGGCGAGGAAAGGCATTCAGGCGCAACAGGTATGAGGTCTGGAATGTCAACCCACTTGTTCCCCCTCGGCCCCACCCCCTCGGCCTCCCCAAATAGCCTCACGGCCCGCATGACTTTTCCCTCTGCTTGTTCCTTCCAGCTGCCCACAAAAGCCCACCAATGGTGCGGAAGCCAAGAGCCCCAGACTTTGGAAAACAACTATACCTTGAGTTCAGTGCCAGTTTCTGCCACTTCTGGCTGTGTGATCTTCAGCAAGTCCTGTCCCCTCTCTGAGCCTCTGTTTGCCCATCTATTAAATGGGGATCCTAACACCCCTCGCTCAGTGTGGAGAATTCTGGAGCCTGAGGGCTGTGAGGGCTGTAAGGGCTGCTTTTGTCCAAAGAGTGGAGCCCAAGACTAGCCACTCAGCCTGTCCTGTCTTGCCTGTCACACTGGCCCTCTCTGCACGGCCAGGGCAGCCACTAAATACGGCTTTTGAGACACAATTATTCCTTCCCAAGCCTTTCCTCTCCTGCTTCCACCATCCCCCTCCGCCTGAATGCCCACTTCTCCTGGCAGGGCCCTGACGCTCAGCCCATGAACCTGTGTTCCAAAAGGGAAAAAAAGAAATGAAAGAAGTAAATCTTGCCAGTTGGGCAGGCCAGAGGGGCTGCATCAGAACCAGGAAGCGAAACTGCCCGGGCTGGTTTCCCGCCTGAGTCAGCAAGGGCAGGGGTTGTGGGGGGGACGCAGCTGGCAGAAGACAGGGACCCTGGAAATGGGTGGGGTGGCCACAGAGCTGGGGGCCCCTGTTCCCCTCCAACTGAGGCTCCAGGGCCACCCTATTTCCCATGGGTCTCAAGGACATGTGGGTTTGGGATCAGGAGCTGTGGATGCCTAGACAGTGAGCTCACAGAGGCCTGGCGGGGTTAAGTGCGGCTTCCATCTCCCTGCAGCCCAAGCTCACTGGCTGCATGGAGAAGGCAGGACATGTGGATGGCTGAAACTCTGCTCCCAACCTCGCCCAGGAGGAGAGCTGGCTGAGAGAGACTCCCAGGGGCCTTTCTGACCTCATAGATTCCCCGGAGATCACTGTATGGCCTTGGGCAACTTTCTGACCTTCTCCGGCCCTCATTCCCCTCATTCGTAAAATCAGGAAAATAGAATAGAATGTTGGTGCTTCCCAAACACTGTGCATTTGATTCCCAGCCAATGCGACAGACCCAGCCCACCCACAGGGCTTGAATGCTGGCCCTATCCTAACCCTGCTGGGGGCCTGGAGCATGTCACCTGACATTTCTATGCCTGTTTTTTCACCCAGGAGATGGGGATGATGACAGTGTTAGCATCTATTGTTAGACAATAAACATCCTCACTCTTTAATAGCCCAGTCTCAGTTCCTCCTAGAGTAGTCAACCAACTAGAACAGCCTTGAGTGACTTCAACATCTCGGGACACCCACTGAAGCATCCTCGGGGACCGTAGGTGTATTTGTATTTATGTAGTACCACCTGATAAGCACCCGGGCTTAGCTGATACAGCCACGCACCAGATGCTGAAGAGGACTGCTGGTAAGGGCGCCCCCGCAGTCCTGTTTGCGAGGGGAGGGGTTGACACGCGGGCTTTGCTGAAGTCCTCCCTGCCTCTCCCCACACGCCAGTGACTCCTTCCCCATCGGTCCGTCTTTGCCTCCAATCCTTTGCAAGAAAGGCACGTGGCATAAGTCTAGGGCTTCCCAGTCTGGGTGACTTCAGACAAGCACTTTGCTCTCCAAGCCTCGGTTTCCTCATCTGAGAAATGGAGCCTGCGATCCCCACTTTGCAGCACTGGTGGAAGGCTTAAGCGTGATAATGCATGGGAGCCGTGAGTACGCCATTGCCATTATCCACGTCCTTTCCGTTGTCACTGTGGCAGGCTGTCTCAACACCGCCGTTGTCCAACAGAAGTTACAATGCAAGTCACGTGTATAACTTTAAACATCCTGATACCACATAAAATATAAAACATAAAAGGAAACAGGTGGAATTAATTAGAATAATGTGTTTTATTTACCCAAACTTACCTAAAATATTATCATTTTGACATGTAATCAATATAAAAAATTTTTTTCAATATCAAAAATTCTTAATGAGCTATTTTACCTTTTTTTCCCCCAGCTAAGTCCTTGAAAATTACATTTACAGCATAACCCAATTCCGCCCAGCCCCATTTCAAGGACACAAAGGCCACTTGGGGCCAGTGGTGACCCTACTGGACAGCACAGGTTGGTGGGAGTTTCCTGAATGGTGAGCTGGGGACCCGCCAGAAAGTGCAGCTGGAAATTCCTGGAAGGAAAAAGCCAAGTTTCCATACGCGGTGGGGAGACTGGGGGCAGCAATCAGGCCTCTTTAGGACCAACTTGGGCTGTTCCTGCTTTGTAGACGTTTCAGCGGAATGGGAGCAGAGTACGAGTTGGTTCAGTCACTAAGTTACACATTGAATGACTGCTGTATGCCGGGCGCTCTTCGTGTGCTGGCGCTAAAGCAATGCTCGGATTACACATACTACTGCCACTGGGGGTCTCAGTGGAGAGGGAAGAGACCGAAATTAAGCAACTGCTGAACTAGATAAAGAAATGTAGTGATCCTGGAGAAAAGTATGGCTAAGAGGAAATGTAGGGTTTTCCACGGACAGGGGGAGAGGAAGGATGGCGTGGGCCGCGGGGCGGGAGGCGGGGCGGGGCCGGCGATCAAGACCACGGGCGGCTTCCGGGCAAGAGAGGCTGGCCTGGACAAAATGGGTCAGAAAAACAATTGGAGGTGATCGGATGTGACAAGTATTAGTTGAATCTTATGAAATTGCCATCTTAGTAGGTCGGAAAATCAGCAATTTCATATGACTCAACGTAATATTCAAGGCACAGAATGGATTGAGGGTTCCCAGCTTGGGGCATGGGTTGGGCCCTATTGCTAGAGAACAGGTCTGTAGCCCCCAAGAGCTCTACAAGGGGCCTGCGATCCCCGCCACGCCCCCAAGCATCAGAACTTGACTCCGCGCACAGAGAGGCTGAGAGAGTTTCTCGCCTCACACAGCCCAGAGGGAGGAGGGGCTGAGCTGCCGCCTTGGAATCCCGCCGCTCAGTCTCGATCCCGGCCGAGCCGTGTTGATTGTCCCCTTGCGGAGCCCGGAAGCGACCCTCGGTAAACAAAGCCGTGTGTGGGCGCAGCCCCAGCTGCCCGGGGTGCGCTGTCCAGCCGGAGGGGGGCGGGAGAGGAATGTTGTGAATGAACTCAGGGCCCGCCCCGAAACTCCGCATAAGGCCTGCGCCGCGGGGGTCCTCCCACTGTGATTGGCCGCCGGCGCCCCATGATTGACAGCACAGCCCGATGGGCGCTCTGATTGGGCTTCCCCGCAAGGACAGGCAGCATATCCAACGAATGAACAACGAGAACTTGGCGACGAGTCTGGCGGTGTAGCCAATAGCGGAGGAGAGTCTCGGAGGCCGAGGGGGGTCCAATGGGGACGGGCGGCGGGGGCGGGACGACGGCGGAGGATAAAGCGGCGACTGAGGCAGCTTCATTGTTGTGAAGAGTCTTAAAGGGGCCGCATCACCCGGCCGGCCCGGCGCCGGGCGGGGGTGGGTGCGGCTGGGGTCCCGGGGCGACCGAGCGCGGAAGACGAACTGGAAAGCGGGTAGGGGGCGCGGGAGCAGGCAACGCAAAGCGGGCATCGGACTGACCCCCCAACAGGCCCCGCCCCGGCCCCGGCCCGGCCGATGGACCCCCCCGCGGCCAAGCGGAGCCGGGGCTGCCCCGCGGGACCGGAGGAGCGCGATGCCGGGGCCGGGGCCGTGCGCGGCCGGGGCCGGCCCGAGGCGCTGCTGGACCTCAGTGCCAAGCGAGTAGCCGAGACCTGGGCCTTCGAGCAGGTGACGAGGGGTGGGGGGGGGAGGGACGCACCCCCAACCCCTTCTCCCGACTTGCCTTTTCCTCCCCTCCCAACCCCCAGCCTCCGGACCTGCCCGCGTATGAGACACCCCCAGAGATTCCCTCCGGGATCCTTAAGTCCGCCCGGAAACACCCTCTCATCCTCCCATTTCACTCCTTCAAGCCCTGTGACCCACCCCCATTCCTCCTGCCATCCCTGCCCTCCACCCCACAAGACACAGGGATGCCCTCAGCGCCCTAGATCCTAGCTCAGGACACTTCCTTCTTCTCCTGCCCCAGGGTCCTCGCACAACCCTGGGTACCCTCTTTTCCCACCTCATCCTCAGCTCCCAATTAAGGCACCTCATTCAATCCTCACTTCTCTTTCCAACTTCTACAAGCCACCCCCACTTGGGGGACACCCCCATCTCATCCCCTAGAGACTCCAGATCTCTGCCCCACACCCCCAGTAAAGAACTCCCCCATTTCTACAGACCCCAGCCTCAAGATACTCCTTTCTGTCCCCGGTCCATGCCTCCAGAACCCACCTGTCCCCTGGGGAACTCCCCTCCTCCAGATCCTTCCCTGGAGTCCTGCTCCCCTCCCTCAGTACTTCTGGGACCACCTCCCACCTGGGGCTGCCCAACCCCTCCAGTGTCAGGGTACCCTCCTACATTCCTCCTGTTTGCCCGATGCTCACCCTCCCTCTGTCCCCCAGCCATTCTAGTCCTTCCATAGGTCGGCGGCAAGGGCAAGGCTTGGGTCATAGTCCATGTACAGGTGCACCTGGAACCCTACCTCTGTAGTTTCTGGGGGTTCTGCCACAATGCCTCAGGGCTGGGGCGGCTAGAGTCCCCTTTTCCAGCCTCAGAGTGTGCCTCTGGGGAGTGGAGATGTGGCCTGGCTCTGACCAAGCCTTCTGCAGTCCCCACAGGCTCTGTCCTCTATCTGGCTTTGGAGGGTGCTCTTTGCTCCCTGGCCTTTCCAGAGTTAGGAAGCCTGCTGGGACCGATGAGTCTGGGCCAAGTGTGGATGGGGCAGGCTCTGATTCACGGCCTGGAAAATCCCTCCTTAGTCATCTGCCAACTGTCCCTGAGGCCTAAGCCAGTCACTGGCCCTCCCACTTCCCCCAGAAACCCAGGCCTGGGAGCTCTGGGAGGTCGCTGCCCCTTTATTGTGCGTGAGACACCCAGCATAATCCTGAAACCATCTCTCATGGTTCCCATGTACCTGCCCTGATCAGTCCTGGTGCTAGGAAAGCTCTTGGCCCTCAGAAGCTCCTGGAATCCTCTGCCGCCCTTTGGAGTTGTTGTTCTCCCTCCCACTTTGAGGAAACTGGAGCACAGAGAGGTTGAGAAACTTGCCCAAGGTCACTCAGCCAGTGAGTAGCAAGCCCAGATTGGAACATTGGTTCAACCAGCTTCGTTCACTGCCCAAAGCCCACAGGGGTGGTGAAGACATCCCTCCCTTCCTGCAGGCCCTTGGAGGCTGAGAACGGAGCCTGTCTTGGGAGTCCAAGTTTGCCAGCTGTGAGACTGAGCAAGTGAATTCAACCCATTTCTGAGCCTCAGAGTATCCAGGCTGCAAAATGCGGTGATAACTAATATCACTGAGATGTTACTATGAAAATTATGGAAAATCACATACACAAAGCATTTAGCATAGTGTAGGCTTAGAATATGGAGGCCTGATCACTATTCTTATCACTTTTGTCTCCCTTTCTCCTGCCCCTTCAAAGCCTGGGAGGTGAGACTATGTTACATCAGGACCCCAGACCTGACATCCAGGAGGGAAGTAGCACAAAGTTCTAGAACACTGAGTACAGGCCAGGTGTTATTGCAAGTGCGATACTCAGGAGGCAGGTGCTGTTAACATCCCCACCTCACACTTGAAAAAACAAGCTCAGAGAGGCAAAGTGACTTGCCCAGAGTCATACTGCTCCTAAGTGGCAAAGCCAGGATTCAAGCCGGGTTTCTAAGCCACCGCCCTTCCCACAGGTGGAAGAGCGGTTCTCCCGGGTGCCAGAGCCGGTCCAGAAGCGCATTGTGTTCTGGTCATTCCCACGCAGCGAACGGGAGATCTGTATGTATTCGTCCCTGGGCTACCAGCCCCCGGAGGGCGAGCATGATGCCCGGGTGCCCTTCACCCGCGGGCTGCACCTGCTGCAGAGCGGGGCCGTAGACCGAGTGCTGCAAGTGGGTGAGTGCTTGCCCCCACCTCTGCCAGGAAGGCCAGGAGGTCCAGCGCAGGCGCGGAGGAGAAGGGAGTAGAGGGGGGCCTGGGCCAAGGCAAGGGGGGGGTTCCAGACCTCTGGCTTCAATGCCCAGAGAGGGTTTTACAAGATATTGTGAGCTTAGGATCAGAGATCTGCCTAGACCCCAGGCAGCGGGCTTAGACGGGGCTTGGGGGAAGGATGGTGAACCAGAAAGTGGGAGGGGAAGTCCCAGAATTTAGGTGGCAAGAGCCAGCTAAGGGTGGAGGACGGAGGCTATTTCTAGATCCTAGGTGGGGGGCCACTATGGGGGTTGGGTACGGGATTCTGAGCTAAAGGCAAGGGTGGTCCTAGAGTCCTCAAGACAGCTTGCCTGGTGGGCGGGAGTAGAAGTGGTGACGCTGGGAGGAGGGCTGAGGAGCAATTTGTAAACCAGAAGTGAGAGGAGGTTTCAGACCTCAGACGGAGGGACCCAGTGATGCTCTGGCGCCAAGGTTTCAAGCCGGAGGTGAGACGTAGTCTTAGACCTCAGGCAGAGGGACTCGGGTGGAAGTTGGGACCAGATGTTTAGGGATGGTCTCACATCTAAGGCAAAGAAGCTTAGGTGGGAGCCTTGAGTAGAAGTCTAAGATCAGCTATGAGGGATGGTCTTAGACCCAGTGGGGTCCAGGTGAGGGAGGGTAGGGGGCAGAGCTTTGGAACTAGAGGTGAAAGAGGATTCTAGACCCCAGGGAGTGGGGCTCAGAAGGGGACAAGTAGAGGTTGAGCCAGAAAGCGAGTAAGCCCAGGAACAGTACACCTCCTAGCTGGAGGCAGGGGCTTGGCTAAGGTGACCTTCCCTGAACCCTGTCAGCCTGGGGGCCCCCTTGCCTGGACATGGCCCAGCCCACCACAGGCTTGGCCATCTTCAGCCGGTATGAGGAAGCTGCCGTCTCTCTGCATGACGCAGTCAGGGCCAGATGGGGCCTGAGCTGCCCAACCAGTTGGATAAGCCTGGCATCTGGGCTCCCCAGGGGCCAGGGAGGGGTGATGGAGTGGCCTGGCCCCTCGCCTGCCACATCAGTCCCTCACCCCCAAGTGTCGCAGGCCTTGGGCATCTTCCCAGGAAGTTACGGGACTCCTGGAGCCCAGGCCATATTCACGGTAACCCAAGGGCTGAGAAAACCACCTTCAGCATCATCACTATAATATTCTTCAGAATTAAAACAGGAGCAAGTATTTGACTGTAGGCCTACAGGGTTCTAAGCACTTACCAAATACTAGTTCATTGAATCCTCTTACAAACGCATGAGGAAGATCTCACTATCCGTTCCCATTGATCAGAGAGGTTAAGTGGCTTGCACGCTAGGTTACTTCATGGGATTTGCACTTGGGTCTTGCTGTGCACCATGGACGAGCACCCCTGTCCTGGGGTGACACAGCATTGGCTGGCTTGGCTTTGGTCTTAGGGTTCCACCTGAGCGGAAACATCCGGGAGCTGGGGGGCCCTGGAGAGCCCGAGCGCCTTTACCACGTCTCCATCAGCTTTGACCGCTGCAAGATCACGTCTGTGAGCTGTGGCTGCGACAACCGTGACCTTTTCTACTGCGCCCATGTGGTGGCCCTGTCGCTGTACCGCATTCGGCACGCCCGCCAAGTGGAGCTGCGGCTGCCCATCTCCGAGACGCTGTCCCAGATGAACAGAGACCAGCTGCAGAAGTTCGTGCAGTACCTCATCAGCGCCCACCACACCGAGGTGCTGCCCACTGCCCAGCGCCTGGCTGACGAGATCCTCCTGCTGGGCTCCGAGATCAACCTGGTGCATGGTAAGGGCCCCCCGGGGACCTGATGGTGGCGGCATCCTCAGGTCCCCTTGATCCTTGAGTGCGGGTGGGGAGAGCGCCCTTGCCTGAAGTCGAGGTCACACACCTACTAAGTGGCAGATCCTGGATCTGACCTGGCTGGCCCCGGACACGGGGAGCTTCAGCCCCAGGGTTAGGATGCCCCAAGAGCACAGGAGCCGGCCTGAGTGTGGGTGGGTAGAGGGCATGAAGGGTATGTGTAGCCCATGGGGGCGGGGGTGCAGGGGTGGGGGATGGGTGGGGGATAGACCCGGAGCTCTTGGGAGGGTTCGGAGCTACAAGAGGCTGTGGGAGGATGGGGTAGGGTGGAGGGTGGGGGCGATGGATGAGCGGTGGATAATTGAGGATGGCGATGGGTGGATGATGGGGTGTTGGGGTGACCTGCGGGTGTGCAAAAGCGGATGCGCTGAGCCCATGGATGGTCAAGTAGGACGGCAGGTGAACGCAGAGCTGGCGGGAGCTGGCGGGAGCTGGCGGGCTCCGGTGGGAGGGGCTTCGATCGGGATCAAGGTGGACTGGCGGGGGTGGGCAGAGGGGGCCGGAGGGAAATTGGAAACCCCAGCCTCACTGTCCCTCCCTCCCCGCAGGTGCCCCAGACCCCACGGCGGGCGCAGGCATCGAGGACGCCAACTGCTGGCACCTGGACGAGGAGCAGATCCAGGAGCAGGTGAAGCAGCTGCTGTCCAACGGCGGCTACTACGGCGCCAGCCAGCAGCTGCGCTCCATGTTCTGCAAGGTGCTGCGCGGGCACGGCGGGCACGCGGTGGCCCGGGACTCGAGGCCCTGGCGCCCCGCCCCCTCCTCACCACGCCGTTCCTGCCCCCATCCCGGCACAGGTGCGGGAGATGCTGCGGATGCGGGACTCCAACGGGGCGCGCATGCTGATCCTCATGACCGAGCAGTTCCTGCAGGACCCGCGCCTGGCCCTGTGGCGGCAGCAGGGCGCCGGCATGACCGACAAGTGCCGGCAGCTGTGGGATGAGCTGGGTAAGGCCTGGCCCGAGGCGCGTGGCGCGCGCGGCGGGCTCTGGTTGCCAGGTCCTGCTCACCCCGACATGAGCCTCTGGCCCCCGAATCCCTTCCATGTTCACTAGCACCTCTGATGCCCGAGGCACTGTGTGGGGGCGGGGGGGAGCTGGGCAGGGAACAAGGGATTGACCCCTGCGCTCCCGGAGCTGCGGAGCTAAAACTTGGCGGCAAAGACGGACAAAAAAATACTACAGACGCAGTAGTCCTTTTCTGTAAGGGCCGGTAGTCAGGCCCTTTGACTATGTGGGCCATTGGTCTCTGTCACGGCTTCTATGGCGGCATTTCAATACGATCGTATTTAGAGACACTATTTATAGAAGGTTCATGTAATTTTCACAAGTCACAAAATATTCCTGTGATGTATTTTTCCCCAACCATTTAGAAATGGAGAAGTAAATCTTAGCTTGCAGGCCATTCAAAACCAGGTGGCGGGTTCAGTTTTATCCACGGGCAGTAGTCTGCTGAGCCCTGTAATACAGGGTGGTAAGTGCTATAGGGGAAAAAAACAGCAAGAGGAGTCTGACAGCCTGGGGTCGAATCCTGCCTTCCCACTTCCCCAGCTGTGTGACCTTGAGCAACTGCTTTTGCCTCTCTGTGCTGTAACGTGAAGAGACTATTGGTTGCAACCTCAGAGGCTCGAGATGAGGGGTAAGCAGAGACCAGTGCCCAGCACACAGCAGGCACTCCACACGTGTGTGTGGCTACTGTTGGCGTGAATGTCGAGTCTCCCTCATGCCCATGTTCACTGGCCGTCCTCCCTCCCCAGGGGCCCTGTGGGTGTGTGTCGTCCTGAGCCCCCACTGCAAACCAGAGGAGCGGGTGAGCTGGCTCCAGCTGCTTGGCAAATGGGACAAGCTGGATGTGTGCCCGCTGGAAGAGGGCAACTACTCTTTCGACGGGCCCAGCCTGCAGCCCACCGTGGCCCTCAGCCCAGGTAGGAGAGGGGCCCCCAGCCTTTGCCTGTCCTCCCCGCCAGGAGGGAGTGAGTGCCCAGGCCAGGGCGGCGGGCAGCTCGAGGTGCGTGAAGTGAAAGACTTAAGACGCCAGTAGTTCTGGGCTGGTCTCCCCACTCAGCCTCCTCCTGGCTGTGAAGGCAGGGATGGGGTGGGGGGGGGGCTAAGAGAAAAGGAAAACGATATTTAGAAGAGAGAGAAGCAGAGATGGAGAGAGAGAGAGAGAAAGGGAGACACAGACCGGAGAAAGAGGGATGGGGTATGGGCAGAGATGGAGGGAGGAAAAGAGGGATGAAGTCTGGGGAGGGGGCAGGATGGACAGACATAATGGACAGTTGTTCACCCTCCAGTGTCCGTTGACACGAACGGCTATAATAGCTCCCCCAGCGCGCACGCGCGCACACGCATCTTTGAAAGGCTGTTTAAAGGATCTGAGCAGATGATGCACCGCGATCGCTGTGTGTCCCAGGGGAGTCTAGTCCCAAGCTGGCGCTCGGTCAGGGGAGCTGGCCTCAGCCCGAGCGCTAGGGCCCCCTAACCAGACCATGTGGGCGCCCCTCCCACAGGCCCAGAGGAGGAGGAGGAGGAAGAGGAGGAGGCAGCGGCTGCAGGTTCCCGCCACACCGTCTTCGGCCGTGCCCTCCAGGCCGGGTCGCTGCACTGGAGTGACGCCCACCTGCAGAGGATCCTGGCCAGCGACTCCTACAGCCCCAGCCTCACAGGCACCATGGGCAGTGAAAAGCCCACCTTTGACCCCCAGGGCCGCCCACTGTGGCTGGGCGAGCCCTTCCCCACCGCCTGCGCCCGCGTGGACACCCTGCGTGCCCACGGATACCCCCGCCAGGCCCTGCGGCTGGCAGGTGCCATCATCAACACGCTCCGGCTACAGCGGCGGCATCAGCTCGAGAGCTACAAGCAGCAGAAAAAAGGTGGGTGCCATGACCGCCCTGCACCCCTGGGCCGTAGGCACAGATGCCGACTGATGGGCGCTGTGGCACCCCTGACGTCTGTGGGTTCCGCTCGGGGTCCCATCAGGAAAGCCAGGCCACCTGGAGTCTTGAGCCAAAAAGAATTTAATACGGGGGATCGAGGGCTCACAAAAGTACCGGAAGAGCTGTAGGATTGAAAGTCAGAGAAGCCACTGCTCAGGTTGAAGAACTTGAACTTCAGAAGCACAGGGATTGCAGCAAACTGCTGACAGTGAGCTCAGCAGCCTGCAGCCCTGGCAGGGGGGCCACTCCAAGAGAATACTCAGAACCTGCTCGAAAAACCTCCCGTCTGTGCCCTGCAGACAGCCACACACCTGCTCACGGAGGCTGCAGGAGAATCAGGGCCTCCTGTCCCAGCCTCCGTATCTCACACAAAGGAGCCTGGGACTTGTAGTTTCTAAGCTTCCAGCCCCTGTGGTATGGGGTGGGTGCCAGTCACAAGTCTTTCAGGAATGGGGACCCAGTGTGGCCAGATCTTTCAATTTTCCAAGACAGGCCAAAAATCTGTATTATGCGATGTACAATTTATTGATTTTTAAACATAGGAAACAAATTCAAATTTGTGTTAGAGAAAAAAAAAGCCACACTGTATGGGCCAAAAAAAGAACATGTTTGTGGATGAGCTATGGGGAGGCAGGAGGGAGGCCACCAGTTTCATTGTCTGGGTGATGGGTCAGTTATCAGGAAATTGAACCCTGGGTGTCATGGAACCCTGGGGGACCTGGGACCCCAGCAGAGTCCTGCCCCGGCCTAGAGGCACAGGGAAAGCCCCCCAGAACAGGTGAGAGCTATGCTGAGATCTTACGGACGTACAGGAGCTTCCCAGGAGAAGAAGAAGGAGGAACAATGTTCCAGGTAGAAGGAAGAGCAGGGGCAGAAGCCCAGAGGCAGGAGAGGGCCAGCTTATGGGAGGAGATTGGAGAATGGGCTTTCAGATGGGGCAGGTGGCCACATGGGGCCCTGAAAGCCAGTTGGGCTCAAGAGAGGTGGGAGGGAGGAGAAAGACAGTGGGTAGATGTTTTCCAAAGCGCCCAGTTTCACCCCCTCTGTCCCTGCCAGGCCAGGGTCTGGCTGTGGGACAGGAGGCCAAGGCTGTGGAGGTGAGGGCGGCTACAGAGCTCCTGGGCAGAGAGGATGACTGCCTGGTGGGCGGTTGGTGGGCAGGCACTAGGAGGCGGGGCTGGGGTTCAAGGAGAGAAGCCCCCCCTACCTAGACTTGTCGGGGACAGGCGTTGAGCCCCTTATACTGCCTGCAGAGCTGCTGCAGAAAGGTAACACCTGCATCACCAACACGGAAGGATGGGTGGGCCACCCCCTGGACCCCATTGGCTGCCTCTGCAGGGCGCTCCTGGAAGCCTGCCGCCTGGAGGAAGAGACCCTCACCCTTTACCCAGGTACCCGCATTGGGGCCCCTGCGAGGAAATGGGACATTTCCCCTTCCCCCTCCCCAGCCCAGTACCCCAAGAAAGTGGGGCCACACTCTTATCCTTGGTGACGTCTCCACACTTGGCCACACCCCCTGGCCAGTGCCAGGAGCCAACAGACTTCACTTTTCCTGAAAGCGAGGCCACCACAGACCCACTTCTCTGCTGGTAGAAGGTGTCTGGTCAGTGCTGGGAGCTGCTGGGTTCCCCATAAGCCCAACCCCCCAGTCCCCGTGTTTGAGTTGAAGAGACCCCGGGGTCCCCGGAAGGGGGCGCCCCCCCCCCCTCCAGCAGCCCTGGAACCCATTTCCCACAGACTCTGGCCCCGAGAAGCGGAAGACAGCCTACCAGCACGTGCCGGTGCCCGGGAGCCCCGGGGAGTCCTACTTGGCGCTGGCCCTTGAGGTGGCACTGCTGGGCCTGGGGCAGCAGCGGGCCCTGCCCGAGGGACTGTATGCGCAGGACAAGGTGGTGCGCAGCGAGGAGCAGCTGCTCTCCCTGCTGGAGGAGGTGGAGCTGGACGAGCGGCTGGTGCAGGTGCTGCGCAAGCAGGCGGGGCTGCTGCTGGAAGGTGAGGCCCGGCCCAAGCCAGGGGGGTGGGGGTGGGGGGGTCCTGCCCCTGTCCTCTAGTGGCCTGGTGGCTGCTGGATCAGGAGGCCCTGTCTCCTGGCCCTTACAGTTCGCTGCTACCTTAAAGGTGAGATCAGCCCTAGAAAGTGCCTGCTACCAATAGGGCTGGGGGCGGGGGGGGAGGGGGGTTAGGCCCCACCCCTTGCTGAGGCCCCACCCCTGGAGCAGGTGTAGCCCCACCTCTGTCTTCCGGCCCCGCCTTGCATCTGCATCCTGCCCCCTCCCCCACCAAGGGGTGCCCAGGGTCTCTTCTTCGGATTTTTCAGGGCTTTTCTGTCTCAGCCCTGCGTTACCTCCCCCGCCCACCTCTCTAGCCCCTAGCGCCAGCCAATCTATCTGGGGACCCGCCCATCCCCTCAGAGCCTGGGGTGTGAGGAGACCTGGGGGGGGGTTGGTGATGAGCCCTCCCCGAGGGAGCTGAGCTCAGGATGCCCCTGCAGGGGGTCCTTTCAGCGGATTCGGAGAAGGGCTCTTCCGGGAGAGCGTTCCCATGCACACCTGTGCCCGCTACCTGTTCACGGCGCTGCTGCCCCACGACCCCGACCTGGCCTACCGCCTCGCGCTGAGGGCCATGAGGTGAGAATGGGCCGCTGGGGACTCGGCCCAGGGGACTGGGCAGGATTGGAGGATGACAGTCGCTCTTGGAGCCCCATCCTCCCTCCAGAAACTCACAAGCTGGTTGATTCCATCTCCCCCAGGCTGGCATCCCATGTTGCCCTGTGTTTTTGATTCTGAAGTAAACACATATATTATTATTTTGAATTTGAGAGAGATCCACATGGCACAGAATTCAGAGTTCTTGTCCATTTTTGTCCCCGCTTACCCAAATCTCTCTGGAGACCTGCAATGTCACCACTTTCTTCTTATCTATCCCACAAGAATCAAGATTTCTGCAAACCCATAATCTGGAAATTCAAGGCTGGTCTTCCTTTTACACCCATGATGCGTCCTGTGTCTGTTCCTTGCACCTTATTTTCAGTGAACTTGGCATCTTAAAGGTTAGGTTGTATCACATAGCATGTGAACTGCTATAGGGATGTATCATAAAAGAACCAATTTAGAGTTGATAGACAATTGACATTATTTCCCCCAAAATATTGCTGTGAATAACCTTATCATTTCTGATGTACCATTTGACCACAGAAGCAGAATTTTTAAAGGCCCCCTGGGTAGTACACCATGCCCAACAAATAAGGTGAATTCTGTCCCCAGTCTCTGATCCCATCATCCAGAGATACCTATTAACAATTTAGCGTGCATCTTTCCAGAATATTTGGAATGAGTAATCTGTGAAGAGCTGTGATTTCTAAGCCAGGAACCAGCACATGACAGCCCCTGGGCCAGATGTGGCCTGCCACGTGTTAAACCCATGAGATCAGATCAAGCTTTTACATTTTTAAGTGTTTAAAAATAAATCAAAAGAATATTCTGTGACACATGGAAAGTAATATGAAACTCAAGTTTCAGTGTCCAGCAATGAAGTTTTATTGGCACACAGCCACACTCATTCATTTATGTATTGTCTGGGGCTACTTTTGCGTGGCAAAGGCAGAATTGAATGGTTGTGACAGAGACCAAATGGCCCCCCCCACAGAGCCGAAAATATTTACTGTCCGAACCTCTGCAAAAAAAGAAAAAAAATGGTGCTGATCCCTGGTCCAAATCCATGACTTACATTAACCTCATGTAATCTTTCTTTTTTTTTTTTAAGATTTTATTTATTTATTTGAGAGACAGAAAGAGAGCACAAGCAGGGCAGAGGCAGAGGGAGAAGCAGACTCCCCGCTGAGCGGGGAAGCCCAACTCGGGACTCCATCCCAGGACCCCGGGATCATGACCTGAGCCAAAGGCAGATGCATAACCGACTGAGCCACCCAGGTGCCCCTACCTCATGTAATCTTACCAACCTAGAGAAATAAGCATGTTTACCCCCATTTTACACATAAACACGCTTAAGGTGTGTCCAGAGTCACATGTCGAGGAAATTTCGATAATATTTGAAACCAGAATAGTCTTGACTCCTATTGCATGCTGTTGATCACATCTAACAACTTTGAAGAACTTTCTACATACAAAATATATATGGGCTAGACGACCCGTAGAGTGGGCTGTCTAGCAATAATACCCCCAGTGGGCGTGTAAAGCCATTCCAAAAATGTTTGCTGTCTATCTACCCATTGTGTACTGCTGCTGGAGGTCCAGCAGTGAACAGAATGGTCACAAATGCCTGCCCTCATGGAGCTGACACTTTAGTGAGGGAGATGAAATAATAAGTTATTTTAAATAAGTATTTATTAATAGGTAAACTATGTTGTGTGTCAGGTGGTGACCTATAGCAAAAAAGTCATGGGAGAAGTTGGGAATGGGAATTTCACATGTGGGGGTGTCAAGGAAGAACCCACTGAAAAATATTTGAGTAAAGACTTGAGGGAGGTGAGGGGCGCCTGATTGGCTCAGTCATTAAGCATCTGCCTTCAGCTCAGGTCATGATTCCAGGGTCCTGGAATCGAGTTCCACGTCGGGCCCCTTGCTTGGCAGGGAGCCTGCTTCTCCCTCTGTCTGCTGCACCCCCTGCTTGTGCACCCTCCCCCTCCCTCTCTGACAAATAAATAAATAAAATCTTTAAAAAAGAAACTCGAGGGAGGTGAGGGAGAATCTGCAAGGACGTCTGGGGAAGAGTGTTCCTGACAGAGGGAACAGCATATGCAAAGGCCCTGAAGTAGGACTGTGCCTGGTTGTCTTTGAGGGACATTGAGGGGAACAGTGGCTGGAGCAGAGTGAGAATGGGAAGGGGGGTGACAGAAGGACTATTGGGGGGCTGCATCAGGACACAAACAATCTCCTCACATTTTTATCAGCCCTTGGTGCGTGAATAGAGTGTTGTTTATTTAATCGACCTCCAGGTGATGAGCAAACAGTACTCCAATGAACATCTGGCACACACATTTTCCGTCTTCCTGCATGCCCGTGGCTTTGCTGGCCCAAGCAGGGAGGCTCCAGTTGAGGCAGGAGGCCCCAGCCTCCTCTCAGCATGGGCTTGCTTCTCCCCCTTCCGCCCCCACCAGGCTGCCTGTACTGGAGACAGCGTTGCCAGCCGGAGAAGCTCACCCCAACCCACTGGACTCCATCATGAGCAACCGCTTCCCCCGCTGGTTCATCCTTGGCCACCTGGAGACGCGCCAGTGCGAGCTGGCCTCTGCCATGCTGACAGCTGCCAAGGGTGAGGACGGAGGCTGCCCCCTGTCCCGTTCCCCCGCTCCCCCGCCCTCTGCCTTTTCTTTCCTCCGTTCCCTCATCCCTTCCCTCTCCTTTTTATCCTTTCATCAAATTTCAGTCTTCCTTGAGCACTTTCTAGATGGACCAGGCACTGTCCCAGGTGCTGAGGAGTGACCAACACTGTTCCAAGGCCTGTGCCCTGTGGTGGTCCATTCTGGGGGCGGGCAAGCAGACCTTAAACAAGGCCAAACACTTAGTGACATCACGCAGTGAGCAAGCAGGGAACAAGGGCCATGGAGGGGGAAAAGCAGACAAACACTTAAGCCAAGAGGGCGGAGCTGTTGCCTGCACCTGTGTCCCTGTCACCTTAGGCCGCCATAACAGCACTGCTCTGGGGCTGGGAGTCCAAGGTCCGGGTGCCGGCATGGTGGGTTCCCAGGGAGGACTCTCTTCCTGGCTTGCCACCCTCTCCACAAGGCAGAGAAAGAGAGCGCTCCCGATTTCTTCCTCTTCTCAGGACACTCATGCCATCATGCTGGGGATGAGGGCTTCCCCGTGAATTTGGGGAGGGCTCTGTCCAGGCCGGGAGAGCATTCCAGGTGGAGGGAACAGCCAGTTCAAAGGCCCCGAGGCTGGACCATGCCTAGTATGTTTGAGGAGTGAAGGAGAGCAGTGACAGAACTATAGGCTCTGGGCCAGCGATAATAGCAATCAAAACTCTTGACCCATGAAAGCGTTTTGAGTACGGGCTCACCGTGGCCCTGGGAGGCAGGTACCCTTGCACTAGTCTGACCCATTTTACAGATAAGGCAGCTGAGGCACAGAAAGGTCAAGTGACTCACTCGGCGTCGCATAGCTGGTGAATGGCGGGACGGGGATTGAACCCTGGTGTTCTGGGTCCAGAATCACTGCCCTTGACAATTAGGGGTCCCCAGGTGGCTTCCTCCTGCTGGGTGGTGAGAAGGAGAGGAGAGGAGAGAAGAGAGGGAGTGCCAGAAGTGGTCTGAGTCTTCCCAGAGCCATTGCCAGCTACCTCTGCCTCCTCACACATGGGCAGCTGGGTGGAGGAACCTGGGTGAACAGGTCAGGCAGCAGCAGGCCTGGTGCCCGGTGTGCCGACTGTGCCAACCGTGCCCTCCTCCTTCCCTGCACCCCAGGAGACCCCAAGTGGCTGCATGCAGTACTGGGCTCCATCCAGCAGAACATCCACTCGCCTGCCCTGCTCTTCAAGCTGGCGCAGGACGCCTGCAAAACGGCCACCCCGGCTAGTGCGCCTCCCGACACCACGCTGCTGGGCATTGCACTGGAACTGGGCCTGCAGGTGAGGGTCAGAGGGGGGATGCTGCCTGAGGACAGGCCTCAGCGGGAGTGGCACCCCTGGGAGTAAGGGTCCCGGGAATGGGGGACTGGGGTCGCCAGTGGGGGATGGGCCTGTGAATGAGGGACTCCCGGGCAGTCTGAAGGTGAGCATCCCCTCCTGGGGGTGTGGCTGAGGAGGAGGATGCGGGGCACGGGTCCTGTAGGTGAGTGGGTGGGCCACAAGAAGAAGCCAGGCCTAGGGTGCTGTCCTTGGGGTGGGGCCTGGAGCTGGTGTGCCCACTGGGTGGGTTGGGCTAAAGCCCAGGGAGCAGAGCCTCCGGATGAGGAGCTTGCTTGGGGGCAGGGCCTGTGGGGGACCAGCCTAGAAGAAAAAGTTGCTGCTGAGGGGGAGGGTCCTGAAGGAGAGAAGCCGCCTCTGCAGATGAGGTCTGTGGTTGAAAGTCCTTGAGGCAGGGCCTGCGAGCTGGGGCCTTCGCCAGGGGCCGGGCAAGGGCTGTCCTGCTGGGGCAAGTCAGAGACCAACATGGGTGCTGCCTGTAGGTGAGGAGTCAGCTGCAGGGTGTGGGACCCGGAGGGGGCAGGGCCTCAGAGTGTGGCCAAAGTAAAGTAAGAATGGAGAACAGTTTGGGGCAGGCTTGCAGGATGGGGTGGGACCTTCCCAGGCAGAACCTGCCTCCAGGGGGCCTGCAGAAGGCAGAATTAGTCCCGAACAATCTGCTGTGGGGAAGTGGAATCATTGTAGGGGGTCTGGGGGAGGTGAGATGAGGGAGGGATCTTTAGAGAGGTGAACCACTCCTTAGGAGCTTCCAGTAGGCAGAGTCCACCAGACAGGACCTAGGGGGAGGCAAACAGGGAGGGTGCTTATTGGGGATAGGACCCAAAGAAGGTAGGGACCTGTAGGGCAGGTGCTTTGTTGGGGGCTACAGGGGGAAATCTGCTGACATGAAGCATGGAACTTTCCAGAGAGAAGGGGCAGGTTGGATTGCTGTCTGTGGTAGGCACCACGGAGCCTCAGGATAACACCCACAATAATAGCAGTAACAGTAATGCTGGCGTGGGTTGAGCACTTTGAATCAACAGATACTGTGCAAGATTTTTTTTGGAAGGGAGCACCTAGGTGGCTCAGTCGTTAGGCTTCTGCCTTCGGCTCGGGTCATGATCCCAGGGTCCTGGGATCAAGCCCCGCATCGGGCTCCCTGCTCAGCGGGAAGCCTGCTTCTCCCTCTCCCACTCCCCCTGCTTGTGTTCCCTCTCTAGCTTTCTCTGTCTCTCTGTCAAATGAATGAATAAAATCTTTAAAAAAAAAAAAATCTTTTTTTAAACAACTTTATTTTTTATTTTATTATTTTTTTAAGATTTTGTTTATTTGAGAGAGCACAAGCGGGAGGGGCAGAGGGAGGAGAGGTCAAAACAGACTCCCCACTGAGCAGGGCTCCCGACATGGGGCTCAATCCCACGACCCTGAGACCGTGACCTGAGCCAAAGGCAGCCACTCAACCAACTGAGCCACCCTGTGCAAGATCTTTACCTGAAAATTTTTACTGAATTCTTAGAAGAGAGCCCTGAGGTAGAGGTTTGGAATCCCCATTTTACAGAGGAGGAAAATGAAGGCCCAGGAGGTGAGGCCACTTGTCCAGATCACGTGGCTCACGGCCGATTCAGCCCTTAACGCTCGAGTCTCCTGGGCCCCTCAGGATCCCTGATCCCCTCTGTAGGCCAGCGCGAGGTTTTGGGTGATCCCCTTCTCTCTCCCCCTCCCCGGGCTGCAGGTGATGCGGATGACCCTGAACACCATGACCTGGCGGCGGCGGGAGATGGTACGGTGGCTGGTCAGCTGTGCCACAGAGATCGGTGAGTCCCCAATGAAATAATAAGGCCATCAAAATAAGTATTTATTAATAGGTAAACTATGTTGTGTGTCAGGTGGTGACCTATAGCAAAAAAGGCATGGGAGAAGTTGGGAATGGGAATTTCACATGTGGGGGTGTC